AGCTGAACTTTTGGCCCAGAAATTGGCAGAGAGACTTAATGAAAGTGAACAACGCCGTAAGATTTACCTGGAGCAAATTCGGGAGAGAGCAAATTTGAGGGACCAATCATCACCTTTGCTGCGTAGATCATTAAATAAGGAAGGACAAGGTAGATCTACCCCTACAAACAGTGGTGATGATTCTCAAACAAGCATGGTTTCTGGCATTGGTTCTAGTCTTGGAATTGGCAATATCACATTGCAACACTCAATAAAGAGAAGAATTAAGAGAATTCGACAAAGGCTTATGGCTTTAAAGTATGAGTTTCTTGAGCCCCCTCTTGGTGGTGAAAGTGCTAGCCTGGGATATAGAGTAGCAGTAGGTGCTGCTAGAGCAAAAGTTGGCCGTTGGCTTCAAGAGCTTCAAAGACTTAGGCAAGCAAGAAAAGAAGGGGCCACAAGTATAGGGCTAATAATTTCTGAAATGATCAAGGTATTATTTTTTGTTCTCTGGAAACTGTATTTCACTCCTTATCAATGGATATAAGTTTTTTTAACATGTTTCAAAGTTAAGAATGTTGCTCTGTGGGATAAAATTTTGTTTTCATGGATGTTTTGTACGTGCATTTTCAAATTTTGAATCTTGTGCTAATTAAAATAGCACTTCTTGGAGAGCTCTCATTTAGTCAGTGAATAAATATTAGTCTGGAGAAACTAGTGATTCTTGTTCTGTATGTTTTAGTTATTGCTTAGCTTTGGTTTGTCTTATTCTGGGTGAGGCTTGCATATGGTGTTCTTACTGTTTAATCAGAAATTATAAAACACTTAACTTGTATGGATAATTGTCCCATCAATCCTTGTTCCTGACTAAATGTTGAACCAAGTTCCTTTTTCTTAGGAATATTTACAGTTTAAACGTGTGCATTTCCCTTTTATATTATGGAATTTATGGACAGTAATCTTTCAATTTTCAATTGCTATTTTTTAACTTTATGTTAATTTATTTATTATTATTTTTTAGTATTTGGAAGGAAAGGATCCCGAGTTACAAGCATCTCGACAAGCTGGACTACTTGATTTTATTGCTTCCGCCCTACCTGCATCTCACACATCAAAACCTGAAGCATGCCAGGTTATGTTGCACTTTTTAAAACTTCTCAGAGTTGTTCTATCTACACCTGCAAATAGGAGTTACTTCCTTGCACAGAATCTTCTGCCTCCAATTATCCCAATGCTTTCAGCAGCTCTTGAGAATTATATAAAGATTGCAGCATCTTTAGGTGCTCCTGGTAACCTCAGTTTGCCATCAAGTAAAGCATCAGTTGAGAACTTTGAATCAATTTCTGAAATATTAAATAATTTTTTGTGGACTGTTACTGCTATTTTTGGTCATGTAAGCTCAGACGAAAGGCAACTTCAGATGCGGGATGGCTTACTGGAGTTACTGATTTCCTATCAAGTTATTCATCGGTTAAGAGATCTTTTTGCACTTCATGACAGGCCTCAGATGGAAGGGTCAGCATTTCCTGGCCCTATTCTCTTGAGCATACAACTTTTGGTGGTTCTGACCTCCAGATCTGGAAAATTGAGTTATATTGACTGGGAATCATTCCCTGTGACAATGGAGCAGGAAATTGGTGGTAGTGAAGGGGCTAAGCTTGCAGATTCTGCACATTTCGTGGTGAATAACTCCTGGGGAGATTACACTCCCTTATCAGTGAACAATTGCAGCTCAGTTGCTCATTTACCTGACGTTCCAGAGGACAGACCATTGGATGAAATGATCAAGGTTAACAAGAATAACGAATCTATTTCTATAGGGAAGGATTTTGAAGAGGAGTATGAGAGCTCTGTTAATTTGAAAAATGATATGGAAAAGATAGATCTAGATAGATCCAAGAAAAATCAGAGTGTGGACATGACTAATTTATCTATTCCCCAAAAGGACGAGAAACATGCAGTGGTAAATGTCACAGTACAGAAAAACGAAAAAGTATCAAATTTAGTTCAGCCAGTAGTATTTCTTCTTTCAGCTATTTCTGAAACAGGACTTGTCAGTCTCCCTTCTCTTTTGACTGCTGTTCTTCTGCAGGCAAACAATAGATCATCCTCTGAACAGGTAGGTTTTCTGCAACCTGGAAATTCATTCACAGAAGTTGTTGTATTAATTTATTTTGAGGATTTTCATTGTTAAAAATCAGTAGATTTCTGATATTGGCCTGTTAACAAATGTTTTCTTTGGGGATAATTATTCAAAGGTCTATGTTCACAATGCAATTAATAATTGTCATTTATCCCCCAAACTCCATCACTCAGCAAATGTTTTCGTTGTTTTTCTGGAAAATTTGGCCATTAACAATTTGTCACATGTTTAAATATTTCCTTCGATTGAAAGGAATACTTGTGTACACCGTGTTTATTCTTATTTATATTAAAGAAGATATACAGTTATAAGAAACAAAATCAATAATTAATATTGAAAAATAGGTAAGATATTTCTATTTGATGTACTCAAATCATCATATTTTTCGATTTAATGTAATCAAATAATATCTTTAACACTCTTTCTCAAGCTAGAATATATTTATCACGAGTTAAGCTTGTTACAATATCATCAACATAAGACCTTTGGAGAGACTTAGTGACATGTCAACCAATTGGTTCCTAGAGCTAACAAAGTCAATAATGACAAAGCTTCATGCATCGATTTGGCGTAGGTATTTAAAGATAATGGTTGTAATTGTGTATTGTGTTCACACATCAATATTTTTATTTATAATGAAGAAGAGATATAGAAATAAGAAATGAAATCAATAATTAATACTGAGAAATATAGGTTAAGATATTTTCCTATTTGATGTAATAAATTTATATCATATTTTTCTACGTAATATAATCAAATCATATCTTTAAAACCTTCATTTGCTTGTCTGTCCTGGTAACAACTAAATACATAACTATTAATATTTTTGTTGTCTTATGTCTAAGTCGAATAACTTCATTTCTTCTAGGCCTCATATATCCTTCCGTCTAATTTTGAAGAGGTGGCAGCTGGAGTACTGAAGGTGCTGAACAATGTGGCTCTTTTGGATCTTGTATTTTTGCAGCGAATGCTTGTAAGTTTTCTGATTCTCCTTGTAATAATGGTCTATTAAAAGAGCTGTATGTTAATGTAAGAATGCATGTGTTTGATTTTCTCTCTTTTTCCTGGTGCTGATTCTTGCTTATATATATTCCTTTTTCCTTATGCTGTTATACTTCCAGGCTAGGCCCGATTTAAAAATGGAAACTTTCCATTTGATGAGCTTCCTTCTTTCTCATTCTGCCAGCAAGTGGAAATCTCCTACCGATCAGGTGAATCACCATCAACTCAAAATTCTTTCACAATTCTTAACTGATAAAATGCTTCTCTTGACCTTGCTAAACCTGGATTTCCTAACTCAAAGATTTATAATGTGGAAGGATCCCTTGCCTCAGTCTTCGTGCATTGTTGGTATCTGGGTGTGCCTTTGCTAGTTTAATCAATGTGTCCTGGGATACATATTACTGAAATACCACAATCTGCATTTTTTCAGGTTGGTTCGCTTGTGCTTGAAACTCTATCTCTTCTTGGTCACTTTGCCTTGTTTCATCCCGGAAATCAGGCTGTCCTTCGATGGGGAAAGAGTCCCACCATCCTCCACAAGGTCTAGAACTCTAAATATTATTTAATTTTGCTGTATTTCTCAATTTATTGAGATAATCTAATGCTCATCCATAAGAGGACAGGTTTGCGATCTGCCATTCGTTTTCTTCAGTGACCCTGAGTTGATGCCAATCTTGGCTAGCACATTAGTTGCTGCATGCTACGGGTGTGAGCAGAACAAGTTTGTAGTTCAGCAAGAACTGAGTGTTGACATGTTGCTTTCCTTGCTAAGGTCATGTAGGAATGCTGCACCTGCAACTCAGCTTAATTCAACCGCAGACAATTCTACAACAGATGAAAGTGAATGTAATCAATTAGGTATTGAAATTAAAAAGCCTCAAGTGGAAATTCCTGTAAAATGTAGCCGCTCCAATGGCAAAGGCACTCGGACTTCTTCGGGAAAGAGTGGTGCTTCGGGAAATAACATAAAAAATGGCAGAATAAGAAACCAACGGGACACCAAAACAACTAAGAATTCTGAAGAAGTGGCTCCTAAGCACGGCGAGCCTTCGTATTTATTGTTGCACTCTAGATTTCCTCCCATCTTCATTGATAAAGTAGAGCAGTTTTTTTCAGCGGAAATTGCTCATGGGGTTGATGAACTCTGAAGTTAAACATCGTGAACTCATTTTTGTTGGTAATGCACGGATCTTCACGTTTTAACTGAATATGTGTCTTTATACGTGTTTCACACTTCTAATACAGCCATCACACCAACCTCCAAAAAGCTGACGTCTCTGAAGATTAACCTGTCCCAGTTATACACCAAAGGTCTCGTTTCTTAGTCAATGCCAAAAATATTGTATTTTCTGAGAAGTAATATATTTTGTACTTGATGATGAGCATTTTTGTAATATATTAACTATAGAAAAGTGGCTGTTGATAACAACCATCATTAATTACCACTGCTGTAATTAGTTATAGCTGATATGGTTCGAGGTTAACAATCTCGGCCATCAATTTGTCTTATTTACTTCAAAGTTCAAATCTACCTTCTGAATTATGGATAATTTATACAGTGAATATAACATGCATTTATGAAATACTTTCGAGAATTTTTCGATTATGACGGCACAGAGAAGAAAAGCGAAAAGAGTAGAGAGAAGACATACTTGCGAGCTAGCTTGTTTGTATTCATGCGACTCGATTTATTTACAAGTTAATCCCCGCTCCGCCAGCCTTTAAACGTGCCACTATACCCTTACACTACACTACGAGGAAGAGAAGGAATAGCTTCAGTTTACGAGCCAAGTTTCTGATCTGTTATCTGATAATCCACGAGTTGATTTTGTGACAAATACGTCCTTAGAGCCAGAAAGAAACCATGCAGCTAAAAATGTTACAAGTTGACGATAGAGGTTTATGTGCATGTGGGTGTAGTTTAAGGGAACGGAAAAGAGAAAGAGATGATACTTGGCATCATCTGGAGGCTGCTTGTAAAGCCTATTTTACTTTGCTTGCTGTGTGCTGCATGCTGCTTTGGTCTCTGGAGGTTGCCTTACTTATAAGGCCTGCTCTCTGTTCATCTTAACAAAATCAAACGGGTGGGAAATTAGAAGCTCAAGATTGAAAGTCTCCACAGATTTCAATTTCAAGGAATGGAAAATAGACTCCAGCAAAGAAGGTACTTGGTCTCATAAGTGCAAATTGTGATGCCATTTGTTGTTTATCGTACTTCGGATTTCTGGATGAGTATGATGTAATTTCGTTCAGAACTGTTTCTTATACTACCTTGGTTGTGGTCTGTTGATGTTGCACATACCAAAACATCATTTTGGTTTCCTGCCAATTATATCACTGAATAGGAACAAAATTTCTGGTCTCTATTGTAGAGTGTCATTTTCTGACGCACATTCTCCAAAACATCATGGGTCAAGTAGTAGTAAAAATGACAAGGCTTGGAACTGGCTCCCAAGGATAACTTCTCACGATGACTATATTAGAGATGATGAGTACTTAACTTCAGTTGCAGCTGCGGCATTTGCCATTCATTCTTTAGAAGAAGCAGAGTTACGTGACTTAAATAAAATGAGAGAGCAGCCCAAATCTTCAAGACTTCAAACTATGATCAGAGAAGAGGATGACATATCAAAGCGGCAAAGATATGGTAATTATAACTATTCCAAATAACATTTTTATACCGAATAATTTATATGTAGACTATGGTAATTTTCACTACTAGCTGCTATGAAGAATCGTTATATTATGTGTACCAGGGGAACCTTCCATGAAAAGGTCATTTGACGAAGACCCTAGGACCAAAGAAACTGCTTTTCCTGTTAGACGTCAAAGTAGTATATCAACTTCAAGACCTGTATCTCCAGCATTAGGGTATCAGAGACAGCAAGGGACTCCGTTTCCACACAAAAATACCAAAGCCAGACCGGAAAATTGTGAAAAGGCTATGATAAAAATGATTCAAAAGCAGTAAAGCTAATTTCTTGAGCTTCTCATTCAACAATATTTTTTTTTCTGGAAAACTGTTGCCTATTATGTAAAGTAGTTGTCAAATACCTGGATCTAGCTTCCTCTTATATTGTAGGCTAAAATTTTCAGGTATGAGATGATAAAGTCCAAAATTCTTTCCTGGGAGTTAGTGAAAACGTTTCAGGCCAAAGTCCAGGTAGGAAGGGAGGAAGGTTTTCCTCAATTATTGGAATTTTATGTTAAATTTGTGAATATAATCTCATTGGTGATGGAACAACAGGGAGCAAAGCAAATGCAAAATTACCGGAGTAAGGTAACAAGGGAAGATGTGATAGCGCAGGGAGCTGGAGCAGCTTTAGAAGGCAGAAGAAGAGAAGAGTCCAAGGTGAGAAAGAACTCAAACAAAAATCGAAAAACAAGCACGGTCCCTGTGAAATGTTTGTGCTGCAATTCTTAAAAGGATCATGTTGTAAGGCATGGAAATAAATCTGCTACCAGCTAGTACATGTAACTCGTGCCAAACAATTTTTATTGATAAATAAAAATGCTTGCAAATAAACGAAACGTGCACTAACTGATCAATTAGAAGTTAGTATGCTTTTGTTTATTTTGCCATCACTCCATTATGTTACCACCTTCCTATCATATATAATCGGATCTTTAGTTTCTTTCTATCTGCAAGTACTGTTTAGTTGATGAAACGATCAAACTTGCTGGTTATCTAAGAAGATATTCATAAATTACTCTACCATAATTCTTACATGATAACCTCAATTAATAGTACTTGTTAATAGGGTCACATTTTTCAATTTATCTTTTTCAATTTTCATAGGAAAGATGATAAAATAGATCAATTTATCCTATTTCTGACTAACAAAAAATGAGATAGATCGAACTGACCAATTTTAATCAAGTCAGATTACATGCCCCGTTAAAGGTGGCTCAACGGGTTAACACCATGCTAATATTTTTTTTTATATACAAATTTTTGTATATATATTTTTAAAAAATATATCTTAAGTTATATATAAAGCGCAGCAGGTTAGTTTACCAATAATTTTTTTTAAATATATATTAAAAAAATATATTTAATTATATAAATAATTTTTAAGTTTTTATTTATTAATTAATATTTTTATTAGATAAATTAAAAAATTATTATATTTATGTATTAAAATAACTATTTAATATTTAAATTTAATTAAATAGTTTTTATAATTTAAATTATAATATTATAATATATTTAGATATATCAATAATATAACAAAAAAAATATTATTAATTATAATTATTTTTAATTTTAATTTTAATATATAAATATTGTTTTAAAACTGATGGATGGATTATCCTTGATCCATCAAATTGGTGGACGAGAAAAATCAAAATTGACTAAAACTATTAATTCATTCTATCATAGAATATAACATATTAGGAGTAAAAAGTAGAATTAGGAACATACTCCTTGAAACAATATCACGAAAAATCTTAAATCTTAAATCCCTTTAAATATCCAAACAAGTCATCACGCGTTGCCCTTTTAATTACTATTAGAGAGGAGTGAATCAAATGCGTGTTTACTTGGATAAATGGTATTTATACGTTATTTTTGAACAAGTTTTTATTGAGGAAAAAAAAGGGAAAGTGATAAAATAATTAATGGGAGAGAGAAAGAGAGAAAAAAATAGTTATACGAGAGTTTAATAAAAATATGTTTCATTTTAAGTAGAATCTAAAATAATAAGATCAATAACCTTACTAATCTTATCAACTCTCAAGTCTTATATTTAGATTTCTTTCAATTTGTATTTGAAAATTGTTTAAAAAGAAACAATAGAGTTTTACATGATTAAAATAAAACACAATTTTATGTAATAGGATTAAATTTGAAAAAAATTACAAAAATGACACAATTTCAATAAAAGAAATCGTATTTTCAAGGATGAGTTTGCGAGTCAAAGTTAAAATCATGTTATTAAGTTAGTTTTTATTTATTTATTTCTTTCAGATAGTGTACACAATTTTCACCTTTTTTTTTTTTAATTCATGATCATTCCAATTGGTCGGACATAATGTAAATTCCTTTGTATATAAATACTTAAAAACATCTCTTCCAAAATAATAATAGGAGGAAGTGGAACATTAAAGTCAATTCTCAATTCTTATATTTAGATTTCTTTCCATTTGCATTTGAAAATTGTTTAAAAAGAAACAATAGAGTTTTACAAGGTTAAAAAAAACACAATTTTATGTAATAGGATTAAATTCGAAAAAAAATTACAAAAATGACATGACTTGAATAAAAGAAATTGTGTTTTCAAGTTTGTTAGTCAAAGTTAAAATCATGTTATTAAGTTCATTTTTTTTATTTCTTTCGGAGTGTACGATTTTTACTTTTTCTTTTTTTCGTTTAATTCATGCTTACTCCGATTGGTTGGACATAATATAAATTTCTTTGTATATAAATACTTGAAAACATCTCTTTCAAAATAACGTAAGACTAAGAGGAAGTGGAACATTAAAAAAAAGAGAAAAAAATAAATAATTGACTAAGTTTAAAGATGATTGTACATTATCTTAGTATATCTTCAATTAAGCTAACGTATCTACAACTATTGAAAGCATAAAAAATATATAAACTCTTAAATGTACATGGAAAAAAAAGAATATATAAGACCTAAATTTTTTTGAGATCATAGTGACAACATTTATTAAAGGTTAAATTAGTTCCGCATCTCTTCAAATATTGAGTGTTGGAGAAAGAAATTAAAATATATATATATATATATATATATATATATATATATATATATATATATATATATATATATATATATATACGCAATCTTTGTGTAATTATTCTTTTAAGTGTTTTTAGGATTTTCTTACTCTTCATTATTAAAAACTTTTCTTTAAAGAGAAATTTGTGATAAATTTCTTAAGAAATTTGAGAAGGAATTTTATTTTTAAAATTAATAATTAAATTGAAGTTAATTATTTTATATTTTTTAAAAATTAACTAGTCTTATTTAAAAAAGGATGATTCTAAATTTGTGCTAGTTAATATGATTTTAAAAAAATAAAAATGATATTTTGATAACCTAAATCTATACACCTTTTAAAAATAACTCATTTTTAATATTATAATAATAATTTTAATTTATCTTTATTAAATTTTTTACTATTATTATATTGATAAAAAGGAATTATAGAGGAGTTATATGAATTGGAGGGTGTCAAAATATAATTGTTCTTAGAAAAAAAAAAAGAATTCCAGCTAAAAATAGTTAGCATGATTTTAAAATTGACTCCACGTTAAAATCGTATTTTCAAGCATGATTTTGACCCATCTTTTTAATTTTTTTAAAATTCGATCCTATGTAGGAAAATCGTTTTTTTTTAACCACCGAAAACTTGAAAGTGAATTAAACGATAACGTGCAATAACCGTTACACTTTGTGTTCACCCTCCTTTCACCTCTCTCAGCTTATCTCCAACTTGAGTAGAAATATTTTCTAAGGATTGTAACCCAAGCGAGAGAGAATCGTACATAAATAACTTGGCAATGGGGGTACAAACATAATGGTGTTAGCATAAGAGTTATCACATATCCTGACAATTCAAAGCAGAAATGCTGCATCAGTTACAATCAACAGCACACTCAACACACTCCAGAGAAATCCTAATGACACCAAAGGGAAACAGTAAAACACCATTAACAACATTGGCCAAATAAACCCAAGCCACAAACAGTTACCCTTTAACAAGTCCTTATCACTCTATAACAGTTATATGTATGTTAAAGTTGAATACACGACAAGCCTTTGGTAACTCAACAACTTGTGCCTACTTCCGCTGCTATGGCATCTTTAGGAGAATCAAGAGATATCACGGTTTCAAATGCCCCAACTAGAGCCTTAACCTTGCTCTTCCTTAGCTCAGTAAGCATAGTTGCGGTCTCTTCAATCACATTATTATACGAACGTGGGTTTTCTTTCTTCCCTTCCACATCTTGATGCTTCAAAACCACTTTCTCTGATCCTGATTTTGCACCCTCTACCTTGCTATTATCTCCACCAACCTTCCTTCCAACAATAATTCTCTTTTTACTTCCTTCCACAGTTTGGATTTTTCCTCCAATTTTCTCTGATTTTGTATTTGCAGCATTTACCTCACTGCCGCCACTACCACCTCCACCTCTTTTATTATCCTGAACGGTCCTTTTTCTTGCACCATTTATATCTCTTCGCACGTCATCACCAAGAATGCGTGCTGGCCTGAATTTGAGTCTCCTTGGAATGTTGTTGCTCTGAGGCTGAAGTTCCATCACTTTTCCTCTCCTAAAATTCAATTTTCGGGATGCAACAACAACAGTTTTATTGGCGGTCCCAAGTTTTGTGCTTATTTTTGGCCTGATTTTGTAAACCATCTTCACATTTTCACCTTGATGATCATGTCTTTTTTTGTTGGACTTATATGCAGCATTATTTTGTTTCCGAAGGGAAGATTTGAAAGTGGAAACAGATGATGATGCTGGTGGTGGTGATCGTGAAACATTACGCGTTTTGTGTTGCATATTCACCTTCCCTTTGTTCCCGACCACAGATCTAAGGCCCTTCCTTGAAGATGCAAACGTAGGAGACTTGCCATCTTTCTTATTGGTATGCTGCAAGCTTCTGTCCCCTGATGATTCAGGTGAGGGTGAAGACAACTTAGTTGCATCACAAGCCACTGTACGGCCCTCAGATGAATTTGCAGAGGCAGGTTCCGTGACAGAAATCATTTTTTCTGGTAAGTTGTCATTGTTGTCGAGTTCAGGTTTGATTTCTTCAACATTCTCAGGACGTTTCAGAGAAGAGTCTCTTTTCATGTTCTTGGAACCATTGTAACTTATGCTTTGAGGCTTCTTGACGCTGCGTTTTGAAGATAATGTAAGACTTGGTGGGGTGGATTTTTCCTTGCCTCCAGTTGAAAATCTCCTTGTCTGTTTGCTTCTGCTTTCAGTTTTCTTTCGGCTCCTTGAACTAGGACTTTCGTTTTTTACCATTTCCTTTTTTGTTTCACTTTTGGAACAATCCTGCACTGAGAGAGATGGCTCGGACCGTGTGTTATGTTCCGGGGAAACACGCGTTTCTTCAAAAGGTGGTGAGTTTTTCTGTGATGTGACTGTTTTTTCAGATGTTACTTCCTTGATATCAACTGGACTATTGACCTTCTCAATTTTTGGTGTTTGAGAAGGCTTTGAACGTCTTCCTGATTTTTTTCTCCTTGCCAAAGATATCACATTCTCTTGTGGAACTTCGGTTTTCCTTTCCGTTTTGGTAACCCTTTTCTGTTTTAGTCTCCATGGTTTGGCTTCAGAGGCATGTGGGATGCCATATTTGCAAAGATCATGGCAGGAACTTTTTGGACCACTAAGATAACGCGGAAGAATCTTAGGTGGAACTTTTGTGGTGGTTAATCTCTCATGAGTATTTGCTTTCTCGTCAATATCTTCAGGCTCCATTCTCTCAGAGTTGTTCTGATTAACACCACTTTCCTCTGCCATCGCTTTGATCCAGGATGAAGCACCAAATTCAGAGACCCCTGCAACAAATAAGAATCCATTTAGATATGTAGAGGAAAGGGAAGTATATGCTGAGCAAAATGAAATGTGTACAACTTTTTTCACCAATCTAGATCATTGGAATGGTGCAAAGCTTCCAATTTCAGAACCTTTTGGGGACTACTAGCTAAGGGTGAATAGGGTGGTGAAGCTAGATTATCTTGGCATACTAGGGCCTATTATTTTTCTTTTACAGATAAGCTCGTCAAAACATGTCTTGTTCAGTGTGGACATGAAAACGTTTCAAAGAAAGAGAATTGAAAACTTGAATGTGCTAATAAATTCCATGCCTAGCCTCCAACGAGAACTAGATTCACAGAATACAGCCTTGAACGAAGGGTTTCTAACCATGCAGAAATGCCTGGAAATAATTAAAACTTCAGCAGAGAAGTACTTTACTTCTCACAGAAAGGGAGATAAGCGACTTCCTATCAAGTACATTTTATATACAAAACAGGGGCACTCTTTCACTTCAATAATAAATTATACTTCACAAAAGTGTGAAAAAAAAAAGAAAAATCATTTTTGATACAACCACTTATATTAGGTTACCTCAAAGGGGAGAATATAGTTTGAAGGAAAGTCCAAACCAACACAGATTGCAACTTTGATTTTAAATGGAAGAAAAATCTAGAGGTGCCACCGAAGCAGGATAATAAATCAGCAATTGATTCAGATTTCAGACCAAAAGTGAAACAGCATAACAGAACCGCGTGGATATATAGAGAAGACAAGAAGGAAATTAGAAATTAAATTATCTCACAGACCCATTAAATCCATGCTAATTATGTTTGAAGCATGAAGTTCATGATCTGATAAAAGGAGAGAATATAATAATCCTTGAAAATCCTATGAGACATTGAAGATAATCATGATCATCATCACACCACGCATCCTTAATGGGATTGGCGTTGTGATGGATCATGATGGCATTCATTTAACGTGGGAAGAGAAAATCAAGAAAAGAGAGAGGCTGACACGACCATAGGAAAATTGTCTGTGAGGAGAAAAGAAGTGGGAAAGGAGAGAGAGATTAATGAATGGTTGCATACCTTGGTTTAGTAACCTGTGTGATTACAAATCTGAAAAGGAAACCATGGAGGAAAGGAATAATCTGCAAATATGAGTTAGAAATGGTTGGATGCAAACTCAAAAGGGTGGTGCACGTTGCTGTAATTGGTGAGGTGGCGTTTCCCGCGAACCAAAACAATGCGCGTTTGTTGAGAGAAAGTAACCTCAACCAAAAGAGAGAGTCCCACCATAACACTCTGTCAACCAAACCACCCTAACCATGCAATATCATTGCATAGCCACCTTGTACCAGCCATGGAAGAAGGCACGTCAACATCCATTCCCATTCACCATTTCATTTCTATTCAAAACATTATCCATATACATATCATCATATACGCCTCCAATCCATTTATTTATATTACTCCCTTTATACATCCATATTAATCACATTAATTCATTCATCTTTGCTTCACGTGGAATTTAATAACATTCTCTTCTGTTCATAAAGATTTTTCTTTTACACTCTTTGCATCAAAAGAAATTTTCTAGATCATGATTTATTCTAATAATCATATTCGATCATGTGTTAACATTGACGTTGATAATATCTTACAGAAATAGATAAATAATTACTCAATCCTTACCTATCGTATTTATACTGTAAAATTTTATTCAATACAGTGTTGTATAACATTTTTCTCTATATTTTTTAGTACGTGCATGGTCTACACTTACCATTTATGCGATGAGTATATACACTTTATTTTCTCTGGTGTTTTTACGATGATATATAATCGAACACAAAGTACATTACGTTATTAACTATTAATATATTTTTGTGTGATTACATCATAATTATACGGAATATTTATGCTAATTAATTATATTTTAATTTTATTAAATCTTACGTTGTAATTGGAAGCCGGCATAATAAAGTATGAATGTGACATAACAGCGTCATGCGCGTTTATCAGTTATGTTCAATAACTGTCGTAACGGAAAATAACAACCGTCATTTTAGAGTGTAGGGGTGGAAATAAAAATGAAAAAGAAAAATAGAAGTGACGCATAAAAATAAATAAATAAATAAATCATTCAATTATTTATATAAGCAATAATTAGTTATTAAAAAAACATAAATTAATCCTCTCTAGCGGTAAAATTGCTTTAAATACAGTTTTTAAATTTAGAAAAAAAAGTGTCTTTAAAGTTGTTCGAGGTTTAATTCGCATGTACACACTTTTATTTAATATGAACATTATCAGAGGTTGAGGCACCTCTTTCTGATGGTGAAACGAAGTGTTTGTTTTGAGTATGGGCCTTTTAGGCTCATTGGGCCTCATGGCCACTTGGTCCTTGATTGGGTCTCTGCTATGTGATATGATTTGGGCTCTTTCTTGAACCTCATAATTTCTCCTTGAAAGCATATTTACGAAAAAACAATATTATCACAAAATCGATAATTCATAAAAATATCTAGGAGTGTTTCGAATTGATGGATAAAAACATTTGGATTGGTGAATCCCAAAGATATATTATTTCAAATTCTGAATTGGAGAATCTTAAGAACTTCGTATTATAGTTGAATCCAATTTTTTTTTTAAATGTATTTTTCTCTACTATTTACAAATTGAGCAAAACTTCCTACTATCATTCACACAGAAGTCCAGAAATATTATAATTGTGGATGTAATTCACAACATAAATTTGAGGGTCGGGATTCATGTTATAATTCACTGTTTAAACTGTATTTCAAATTATATGAACATTTTAATTTCATTTCTATATTTAATTTAAAAATAATAAAGTTATGGGACAGTAACTCCTAATATCCATTGTGTGGATATGTTCTATGCATTATTAAGATTTTTTTCTTCACTAGCATGTTATTAAATTTATAATTCAGAAATAACATCATTCTATCAACATTTACCTTATTATACAATTTTCAACTTCTCTAATTAATATAATTTTTAAATAAAATAATATGTATTAAATATAATAATTAAATATAAATATATTTTTTTATAGAAAATAAATACATAAATATTATATATATATATATATATTTAAAAAAATTCTTTATATAATTATATGAAATAAATATAAATATATATTTTTAAATAACATAAAAATATATTTATATAATTATATTATTAATATATTTTTATAAATATAGTAAAAACAAATATATATAATGTTTAAATATTTATTTATATTTTTATAAAAATATATTAATAATATAATAAAATATAATTATTATATTTTATTATATTTATAAAAATATAAATAAATATTTAAACATTATATATATATATTAAATATATTTATTTTTACTATATTTATAAAAATATATTAATAATATAATTATATAAATATATTTTTATGTTATTTTAAAAAATATACTTATATTTATTTCATATAATTATATAAATAAATTTTTTAAAATATATATAATATTTATATATTTATTTTATATAAAAAAAAATATATATATATATATTCATATTTAATAAATATTATTTTATTTTAAAAATTATATTAATTAGTGAAGTTGAAAATTGTGTAATAAGGTAAATATTGATAGAAAGATGTTATTTCTGTATTATAAATTTAATAGTATGTTCCTGAAAAATAAAATTTAAAAATAGTGTTAGTCAGGTAAATATTGATAGAATGATGTTATTTCTGAATTATAAATTTAATAACATACTAGTGAAGAAAAAAATTGCACTACTCATCAAATATTATATTCAAAAAATATTATTTTATGAAAAAATTGCTTTCGTTCAACTTTCTCATAAAAGGTTTACGAAGTAGGTTAAATAATCTAATTTATTATGATAAGATAAGAGTACTTTCTTATGATTGGTGTGAGATAGTAAAAAAATGAAGGATTTTTAAGTTTTATAAATATCTTATAGATAAATGTATAAATAGTAAAATTTGGATGAATGTTTTTGGTGAAGTTTTAATGGATAAAAGTTTATTATTACCGAATTATATGATCCCAAAATTTATACATATATTCGGGATTACTACTAATAATAAAATATTAAATAATAATAATAACAATTTATAATCTAATTTAAATTTTTTTGAGATTCATTAATAAGAACCTGAAAAAACAATTTTTTATATATATTTTGGATTACTTAATCGGAAATTAAATTTTTTTCATAATTCACCTGTCCAAAATGAATTCATATTTACCAATGCAAGACATTTTAAAATATTTTTTTTTAAATTATCAAATTATTGTGTTTTATACACTACTACAAATATCACATTTCACGCTCGGTTGATGAACCGATGTTTTATATATATTTCAGATTACTTAATCAGAAATTAAAAAAATTCATAATTCACCAATCCAAAATGAATCCATATTTACCCATGCAAGACATTTTAAAATATTTTTTTCAAATTATAAAATTTGTATTATTGTCTTTTATACACTACTACAAATATCACATTTCACGTCGGTTGGTGAACAAATGTAGAAAGTTTGATTTATCTATTTATTTATAATAACCTTTATCTAGATATCTCCTCCCCTTTATATTATATTTTTATTATTTATTATATTGTTTTAAGAGAATTGTCACTGACATGATTCAAACTCAATATTTTAGAGTTAGAAGTCGATACTCCAACCACTATAAGCTACTTAGGATTTTCTGATAATAACTTATAAATAAATTATATTTATATATAAATAAATGTATATCTGTGTAAATATATAAATATAAAATATATAAATACAAATATATTTATATTTATATATTTTGATATATTAATATAATTATATATTTATATATTTATATGTTGAATATGAGGGTGCGACTCGAAGGTGAAAGTGTGTGTCGAGTGAATTTTCAAAATTTGATACCAAATTTAATCTAATTATAATAGAACAATTTTTTCTTTACATAGATTATTATAAATTAATCAAAATCATCTTTTAATAATTATTTTTTCCAAACATAAATTAATTTATAACAATTTATTAAATAAAATAATTTTAAAAATAAATATTTAATTATTTTAATATTTGAAAAAATTAGTTTAATATAAGAATTTCAATTAAATAATAGAAGAAAAAAAGAAAAAAAGAAAAAAAGAAAATAAAATAAAATAAAATAAATAAAGAAAAAAATATTTTATATCATTATATAAATAAATTATAAAGATTATATTCTATCATTAAATTACAAACTCATATAAAGAGACTCAGCTCACAAATTTGACATCAATTTTTGAAAATCCATTCGATACACACTTTTACCCTCGAACACACTCTCACTTCCAACATATAAATATGTAAATATATAACTATATAAATATATATAATTATATCAAAATATATAAATATAAAAATATATTTATATTTATATATTTTGTATTTATATATTTGCATGGATATATATTTATTTGTATATATATAATTTATTTATAAATTATTATCAAAAAATCTTAGTAAGTGGAGTCAGTCTCTACAATTAATATAATGGGTTCGAATCATGTAAATAACAATTCTTTTAATTTGCTATTATTTCAACTTTCAACGTTGTTTGACTTAAAACCGACGTTGAATGTGTCAAAATTCAACTTTTAACATCGATTGATTCAAAATCGATGTTGAAAGTGTATTTAACGTCGGCTCATGGAAAATAGTGATAATATTTATCATGTAGATGAAGTAACTACATTCATGTGATAGGTAGTTGTGATTTTTGTCCACAATTTATTATGATAAGTGTTCTACTTGTGGGAACTTAATATTATTGAGTTAAACGAAATACCACAAAGTTGATAAAAGGTATAATTTTTTGTTATCATACTGAGATAGTCATTTTGTAAAGAATTCACATAACATGTCTCAAGAGAAGATAAATTACAAGTTTTTTGAAATAGTTAAAATATAAGTGGATTTGAATTGATAAGAGAAAAAATAAATTGTTTGTTCTTACAGTATTCATTGGAAGGTTTATTTAATAAAAAGAGACGCTAAGAAGATCTTCCACTAAAAAAAAGTATGATCTACGGATCCCTACAGAATTGATTAAAGACACTAAAGTTTGTATTTGTCCGCCACTTAACCCAGTCAATCTTTGAGAATATCATTGCATGCGTGTGCTTCATATTTATCAGGTTATATTTTTAGTCAATATTTGTTGACATTATTTTTCAATCTACATTATTAACGTAGATTATTATAAATTAGAAAAATGGGTCACCGTGGCAATTGCATCAATCTTCCTCAAACTCATTTAATTCATATGTTAAGTGAGTGAGATTTATTTTAAGTCATAACTCACTCAAGTTTATATATATATGGTATATGTTTGACAAGAAAGTGCCATTTAATTTTAAAAAATATCATAAAATTGTGAGCACGATTTCGAACTTAAAAAAATAATAATAATAGCGAGGTTATGTTTTAAAATACAATTTCATTTTTATTAAAACATGATTTCGATTTTATTTTCTTTTAAAAAATAAAACTTAGTTTTAGAATATAATTTTATTTGTTTTAAAAAGTGAAGTCATGTTTTAAAAAATATTTGACGATAAAATCATATTTAAAAACACAATCGTGGCCGATATATTGAAAAGCTTTTTCCACTACCAACAGTACTAGGAATCAATGATAAAATGGATGCTCAATTATTGAATTATTTATTTTAAAAACTGTGCTTTACGTGACAACACCACACCTAATCTAAATGTTTTTAAATATCCCTCCGACAAAGTGAAAAAGAGAGTAAAAGGAGAAATTGAACAATCAGACAAAGAAAAGTTATTTTCGGTATTCTCAAATAAACCAGACCTAAAAGTTTCTACATATATCGCACGTGAGTCTTTGTGAATTACTCTAGGTGAAAAAATTGGACTATAAATCAATCATCCTCTGTTTCCACATTCACACAGTTGAATCTCTTGCTTGAGCCACTCAAACAATAAATCCATCACATTGAAACCATGGTTTTGGAAACAAAGCAATCGAAGAATGTGTGTGTGATTGGAGCAGGACCAGCGGGGATAGTGACAGCCAGGGAGCTGAGAAGAGAAGGTCATGAGGTGGTTGTGTTGGAGCAGAAGCATGACATTGGAGGACAATGGCTATATGACCCAAATGTAGAACAAGAGGAGGATCCTTTGGGAAGAAACCCTTGGCTAAAGGTGCATAGTAGCATCTATCAATCTTTAAGACTCATGTCCCCAAGAGAGGTCATGGGCTTCACTGATTTCCCTTTTTTAGTCAAGAAAGATCGAGACCCAAGGAGGTTTCCTAGCCACACAGAGTTCTTTCTCTACCTCAAGGACTTTTGTGAATGGTTTAAGGTTACAGAGATTATCAAGTTCAATACAAAGGTGCTTTATGTGGGACCCTTAAACTATGGTGTCTCTGGTCAGGATTTGAAATGGCTTGTTAGAAGCAAAGAGAACAAGAGCGATGATGAAGTTGAACAAGTGTTTGACGCTGTGGTTGTGGCCACTGGCCACTACTCTAAGCCTAAATTGCCCTCCATTCAAGGTACGTGGATGGATATCTACAAATTATTATTGCATGCTTTCCGGGCTATTACTTTAATTTATCTTTATATGATATGTAGTTAAGTTTTCAATTTAACATAAAAAGTTAATAAAATCTAACAACGAATCAGTATCACATAAAAATCAACTAAAGGAAAAGAAAAAGAGAAACACTCATACATATATTTCATGCAAATGAAAAGGATATGAAATTATATACATTTCTGGCTCGTGCACATATTACCTAATTTTATTCCCGTTGTTGATGCTAAGGAATGGATACATGGAGAAGAAAACAAATTCACAGTCACATTTACAGGTCTCCAGAGCCATTCCGCGGGGAGGTATATATGAATATCACCCGTTAAAGTTATATTTTCTTCAGAAGAGTGGGATTTTTATACAAGTTTTGTTTTGTGGAAACTTAAGAATGCAAATAGCTGAGCAGATAATATTGTTTAGCTCTTATTTTTACTTTAAATTATTAAACTTGCATTCTTCAAAATCACTGAAAATAAAAGTTTTGTTTTTTTAGATAGTGGTGGTGGTTGGAAATTCTTATAGCGGACAAGAAATATCAATGGAACTTGTGAAAGTAGTGAAGGAACTCCACCTGAGTGCGAAATCACTTGACATCTACGAGGGTATATCTAAAGTGATATCCAAATACGAGAACTGTCACCTTCGTCCACAGGTATATCACCTCCTAATCATGAAGTTCTTCTAGTCGCATGAAATAGATCCACAGCTATTTATGCTACCCTGATAAACGTGGTACATATACTGTGTAGATACACAACCTTCAAGAGGATGGGAGTGTCGTTTTCACGGATGGTTCCAGCATTCTCGCAGACACTATTTTATACTGCACTGGGTAGCATCTCATATCGCCTCAAAATTAAGCTGGCAAAAATTATTCTTTAATACAAGTCAAATACTCATAAATGATAATCCACCGGTTTCAATGGATTTTGTGTAGGTACTCCTATTCCTTCCCATTTCTTGACACAAAGGGAATGGTTGTTGTGGATGATAACAGAGTTGGTCCTTTGTACGAACACACTTTCCCTCCATCACTTGCTCCTTCTCTTTCTCTTGTGGGCATCCCCAGAAAGGTAAATTACATTATCTACTTATCAATAGAGGTATATATGTTATTTGATGAAGTTCATATTTGTTAGTAATATTGGTTGATAAGTGGTGCAGATCCTAGCGCTCCGTTTCTTTGAGTCTCAAGGAAAATGGATAGCTCAATTGCTTTCTGGGCAAAAAGTTTTGCCATCATGTGAGGAAATGATGAAATCAATCGAAGAGTTTTATCATTCAAGAGAGGTTGCTGGTATTCCTAAACACTACACCCATGACATTGGAGACTTTGATGTAAGTTTATATGGTTGGTGTATCTGGTAGAGCATGCAAATGTTAGTGATGTATAATATAATATAACAGTTAAACTTGTTTTGCAGTATTGTGACAAATATGGAGAAAATGTAGGATTTCCAAAGTTAGAAGATTGGAGGAAAGAGTTGTGTGTATCATCTGTAGTGAACTATTTTATCAACTTGGAGACATGTCGTGATTCATGGCATGATGATGAGAAGCTTCAAGAAGCTCTTCGAAATCCTTACTTCACTCAACTTGGACTTCATCTTGAAGATCCTTCTTCGAAAAACTTGAACTAGTTAATAATTACATTTACTTCTATTTCTAAGTTGAAAACTTCAATCGTGACTCTATTCTCGATCTTTATTTGTCTAAATCTTTCGATTCAACGACTTAGTTTAGTCGAACGAAATGTCACCATATAATTTACTATTTTTAATAAATTTTGTTAATAAAGTGACCCGATATAGTGATTCATGTTATGTTTTACAATATGTAAATTTAATCTTACAGTAGAAAAAAATTTAAATTAAATTTTAAAATTCAAATCTTGTTCAATGAATTTTGATGCAGCTGATTTATTGAAAAATATTAAATGATGTTTAGATTAAGATCAATTTTAAATTTTAATGTTGGTTCTGAATAATATTAAATTTTAAGATTAAGTTATTTATTTTATTTCTTTTAAGTCTAAATTATTATATTGAACTTATCATCAGCAACTCAATTTCTATTTCATATCTACATTCTGAATTTAAGTTAGAATAAGTTTAAAATAAGATCTATTTACCAATTATTATGTGCCAAAAATACTAGTCCACCAGTTTTTTTTCCATCGAATTAATTAAAAACTTTAAAGTTGATAACTGTTCGCCTAATGAAATAAGGTGTTTTTAAGTCAAAGATGACTTCTTTTTTACATTTCTCTACAAAAATTTATGATTTGTATTTTCTTTAAAATAATTGTGAAACTAATTTTGACACTGTATCAGGCAAAGTTAAAGTCTGAATCAAATTAAGTGTTTTATCAAATTAAATGTTTAAGAGAATTATACTTTACAAATAAATTATATTTATATACAAATAAATATATATCACGTGTAAATATATAAATATAAAATATATAAATACAAATATATTTTTATATTTTGATGTATTTATACATTTATATGTTGGATGTGAGGATACGTTCGAAAGTGAAAGTGTGTGTGTGAGTGAGTTTTCAAAATTGGATGCCAAATTTGTGAGCGGATTTCTTTATAGGTTTGTAATGTAATGACAGAATATAATCTTTATAATTTATTTATACAATAAACTTGCGAAATGCATCATTCACTCAAGCGAAAAATACCAATTTTTGCTTGAGTAAGTGAATTTTCGTGAGTTTTAACGTATTTTTGCTCAAGCGAGAGTCAATCTCATTTTCACTCTCGAGCGCGCTCTCACATCCATCGCATAAATATATAAATATATCAAAATATATAAATATATTTGTATTTATATATTTTATATTTATATATTTACACGAATATATATTTATTTGTATATAAATATAATTTATTTGTAAGTTTTTATCAAAAAAATCTTAGTAGCTTAGTTGTTGGAGTATTAATTTTTAACTTTAAGGTACTAGATTCAAATTCGTCAATTACAATTTTCTAACTTAAGCGAATTTTTGGTTGAAAAGAAAATATTTTCTACGTCCGTTCATTAAAAACCAAAGTAGAATGTATTGAAAATTCAACTTTCAATATCGTTTTTTAACCAACCGACATTGAAATTGTATTTAATATCACCTCAGTTTTAATCGACGTTAAATATCAACGTGGAAAATATATCTTGTAGTAGTGTTTTAACATTTTTATTTTAAATCAAATTAATTGTTTTAATTTATTAAATAGAGACTAATCTTTTTATAATTGTATATTGTATGATTGACATTAATATTTTAAAAATCGAATTATTTTTAAAAATTTAGAATAAATTTTGGTAAACTTAAAATATAAAATATTACAAATTATTTAACAATATGTAAAATAAAATTATGTTTTCAACCGCAGCCATAATGATAAATAAGACCAATTACGGGTATATATAATGAAATAGATTAACCAATTTTAAATAAATCTAAGAAATATTTTATTTTCTTATTTGTTAATATAAATAGTGAGGTATTTAAACTATCTTCCAATACTTTAACTTATTTTGTAAATATAATTAGTTTTTAAATGAATATATTATAATATATTTATTACTTTGTAATATTTAACTTGTTTTTTATGAACTATCATACTCTTGTTAATCAAAATAAACTCATTAGAAAAAATATTATATTTAATATTTAAAAATATGAAAAAAAAACAGAAATCATGTACTAAAATACGACTTTCACTTCCATACCAAAAATAGTTTTATCTTTTGAATTAAACAAAACTTAAAATAGTTCATTCAAATTGAATCTAACCATTTCTTTTCAATTAACTGTATTTTCAAATTCAAACCAAACTGGTTTAAAACTATTAATCAATTGTTTTTGTTCATAGTTAATTAGCAATGAAAATCAAATTGAACTAAAAAACTGTTTTTTTTGTTCTTTTTTTCAAATTGAACCAGCTGAAAAATAGTTTTTTTTTCTGAACAAGTTGTTGTTGTTGTTTTGTATAATTTGATGCATTTTTAAAAGTAATCCACTTTTTCAACTTCCAATTCAAAATGATTCATATTGGTTTATTAATTTATTGAATAGCACTTTACGATTTGCGAAACATTTGTACTAATAAAAATTCAAAAGAAAAGAGAAGCAAACAAAATGAGTATGGAAAATTGCTGCATGCATATGTGTCCATTTAACCAAACAATTAAAAATTAATTGTTTTCTAAAGACTAAAATTTATTTTTTATTATTCCTCTAAACATTTAAGCTTTATCCTAATGTCTTAAATTATAAATTAATTATTTTAATTGTTTAAAAAGGCCCTTATAAGACTAGTTTCATCTTTTATCTACAACCGTGAGAATTTGTATTTTGATCCCACTTTTTTTATGATTTTAGACCATCTTTACTGTAAAATTTTAACTAATAAATTATTGAGTATTTGATCTTTTAAAATTTCAATAAATGTTGAAACAATACATGATTCATGGCCACTTAATAATTTAAAATATAAGATATGATAAAATAAGCTTTTAAAAGCACAAACGCACATTAATTTTCTTGCTTTTTCCTTAAATTATTTTCTTCTTTTACATAAAAATGAGTGTTCAATCTATGATAATTTTTCACTCTAATAGTTTTTAATAATATTTATATTATTATACACCTTGATTGTTGAGAAATGCAACACAGTCTTTTTAATAATTCAGTCCAGTGCCCTAGTACTGTCGAATTAAATAGACAAGGTTACACTTAAGCCTATACAACTCTCAATCTTTTTTAAACTCTGCACTATATAAGAAAACTATTTACGCAAAAAATAACAATATATATTCCATATTCTTAATTTGTAAAATTATATAAATTTGATAATTACTAATATTAAACTGTCATCAAAAGCCAGATATTTTGACCTAATTTGAGTGAGTCACCGAGACCTAATCTTGCTCAACTTTTATAAAATGTTTTTACGTTTCAGCCCTTTCTGTGTCGGTGGATACATTGCGTGTTTGTGCTTTTGGTAGTCCTGATGTACATGTAGGGACATGTGGTTTAAAGTGGTGATAGGTTGATACATTGCAAAAAAACATCTTCCAAATAATTTACTTTTATTAATATAATAATTATAAAATAATTTAATAAAATAAAAATTATTATTATAATATTATAATAAATTGTACATTGATGTTTAGTCAACATTAATAATTACCACCTTTTCCTCGTGAATTTATTATCTTTCAAAGAGTAATGATATTTTCACGTCCTATAGTACAAACAACTCCTCCCTTAACTTTTTTTATTAATATAATAATGATAAAAAGATTTAATAATAATAAAAAATAAAAATAAATTAAAATTATTATTATAATATGAAAAGTGAGTAATTTTTTAAAATGGTATGAATTTGATTTGTGAAAATATCATTTTTCTATTTCAAATCCATTCACTTTCTCAACAATCATTAAGATTAATGATAAACAAAGTTAAATTTAAGTCATAAAAGTTAACCTGAAAACCACGTAGTTTAGAAACTTTTAAACGTTAATAGTTGTCCACTGTTGGGGAATTGTATTTAACGAACTCACTTACAACGTGTGGACAAATAGGTCATGAGATGTTGATTCACATTAAGCTTAAAAAATAGGCCACGAGATGTTGGTGTTCGCATTAATCCTAAACAAATGTTAAATCTTATCGAATAAAACAAAGTGATAGAGATATCAGTTTATTAAAAAAAAAAATCCATGTCAATTTATGTACACTCTGATTCACTTAGTAAATAAAATCAGAAAAACATTATATGTGAATAGTTTTTTTCATTTACTAAAGTATGTTCCTTGGTCTTTTATGTTTTTTTTCCTTATTTGTTCAAAATTTTATTTTAATTATTATATACTCAAAATAAATCAAAATATTTATTGAGTCAATTTAAACTTAATTTTGTTAATATTTAAAATTAACTTCTGTCCATCTTCCCTCCTCACCAAAGAATAGTCAAAGTTACAATAAGAGGAGATTTGTTTTATGTTCAATTTATGTGAGTTTGTAATGAAAATTTATATTATAAATTATAAAATAAACTGGTTAGTAATATTTATTAAAAGATATTTGAATAAACTGTTTATTAAAAGAAATTGAAATCATTTCGCTATTAATTGTGTTGGAAAGTTGTGGTGTGAAATGAGATTTGATTTCTCATTTTATTTGTTTATAAGTGTTTCTAGTGGAATTTCGATCGATTTCGATTCTAAGGGTGTTTTGGTCCTAATCAAAATTTTACCACGTAAGTTCTTTTTTCTTAGGCTAGCAATTTGATTTTCAATCGAAAACGTGTATGAGAATCGAAAACTACAGGATATCGAAAAGGCTGTTTTTGGTGTTTTGTATTTAAAGTATCGAAAGCATTAAGACTATCGAATCGAAAAAGCAGAATGTTAAATTGCGAGGAAATGTAAAGTGCGAAAACCCCAAATTTGCATTAATTGTAACTAGCAAGAAATCGAAAACAACGCAAATATAAATGACAAGAAATCGAGATTGCAAGAAAAGTAAATGATAAGAAATCGAGATTGCAAGAAAAGTAAATGACAAGAAATTGAGATTTGCAGAATGTTAAATAACAGGAAATCTAAATGCAGAAACTCA